CAGACGTGTGCTCTTCCGATCTCCCCAAAACCCCAAAACCCCAAAACCCCTCAAAGTAAATTAGATAAATGAAAACAAATAGCCTTATATAAATAAATATTTATATTAAGTTAACAAGAGAGAAAGCCTAAAATTATAAGTAGCAAAGTGTCTATGAGCTGGTAACTTCACAAACATCCAAGATTTATAGTGCTTTCTCCCTCATCAAACTTTCAAACTTCATTCATTTTATTAATTCAGGTATCACTGTTTTGCCAGTGATACTTAGTTATAAAACTTTTTGCTAAACTCATTGATAGCAGAAGAAGAGGATGAAGTGTCTTGCTAGATTTACGGCCCGTTTAGTAGTTTATTCATAGATGCTCTCAGATTTTGAGAGGCTGCTGCAGTAGGTGTAGTATTCATAGTCTGCAAGTAGGAATTTATGAATTTATTGGTGTGATCTTTGCTATTATTATTCATGTATTGCTGTTGTTGCTGCAGCTATTGTTACTATAACTGTTATTACTACTGTTGCATTATGTTTAATTGTGAGTGCTGACTCTGCAAGTTAGAGCTAGTATTGTTATTTCCATTGACTTACTACTTATAGACTTGGGAAGATCGGACTTAATTATTGTTTTAATTGTGGATGACTTTAATTTGTTGGAAAGGCTTTGAATCATTATTTACCTCGATAGAGCTCTCCATTTGATTTTGACAATAGTTATCAGAGTTTTATCGGACTTGTAGAATTTAGAAAGGGTTTGAGCTCTTCTTTTGGTGAGAAGGCTTAACAGAATTTATATTAGATTGCATGATGATATTGCTTGATTGGGGAACTGAGGTGTAGCAACCTTAGCTAGTTTAAACCATATTTTATCCTTGATTCATGATTTATCCATTTGAGTTTAGGACATTCTAGTTCTCCTTATACTTAGGAGAATTAACTGAGTATCTACTAGCATACTACTATTGTTACTGTTGCTATTGCTATTGCTACTATTATTAGTGAATATTTTATACTTGGTAGTTCATCTATTATTAATTAGTGACAATAATGTTGTTTTGTTAAACTTCTGAATGTCGAGTAAGTTTCTTTAAAAAACTAACTTCCTCATTGGCTGTGGGTTTTTATTTCTAGCTTGTCTGAGAGGAACTGGAACCATTTTTGTGGACATTTTTATTGGTCAACCTCATTAACTCTTAAAGATCCTTTATACTCTATTTAATAAGATTCCCGTTTTATGTTGAATTTTTCTTAGAATGCCCTGCAGTATTAGATTGCATGAGTACATTTGATTATCCATTAGATTAATTTTAGAATTGAAAGTTGTTTTATGGTTACAACCTCTAGGTAGATGAGAGATTATTATTAGGTTGATTGCTATGATGTCTAGTCGATTGAGATGAAGATTTTTATTACTAGTAACCTGGGTGCCCTGCTGTAGATGGCCTCGGTGAAATATGTTGAGAGCTTGGATTTTGACCATGATGCCCTTAACTGTGACCTCTAATTGAATGTATTTACTCAGATGGGTCCTCTCTAGATAGTTTTTAAGTATTACTTAAGAAATTAGAGAAGGTGTTCTTTTTTCTTGAGGCTGAATTTTCCATGCTCATATTCTTTCCTTGATTTGTTGATGAGGCTGAATTTCCCCTATCTTTTCGGGAAGATTCTTTAGCTACTTATTGAGAGTTTTATCTCACAGACACTGATTTCTTACCAATAGGAGTTGTATTTTAGCTTTGGCTTTGAGATTAATCAGCTGGTCTCTAGTTTTAAATAAATAATCCAGTTCTTTAAGAGCTGCAACCTTTAGTTGTGGCTGGTCTCATGCTGCCACTTGCTTGATAAGGTGCATCATTTTAAGCTTAGGCTAATTAGAAAGTTTCTTTGCTATCTTTAAGTTTTTAAGGTGGAGCTCTTTAAGAAATTCCATAAGCCGCATCTGATTTTCGTTCTTGTTGATTAGCTTATTAAGCTCTCAATAATTTTTCATACATGTTTTAATTTTGGTTCTATTTTTGAATCATTATCATTTCAGTAAAATCTTCATCCTCTTCGCTGCCTCTGTTCTTCTTTTTTAGTTGATCATCTATAATTGCTGTATGTTTTTATCTATTGTCAGCACTCTCATATCTCACATTTTGTCTCTTTTATTAATGAGCTTACCCTCTATCTTAAACTTTCTAAGAGTGATCTCTTTATTTTGAATGCAAGTAAATCAACTCTGCTTTTGGATCTATATCATTGTTTGAAATTAGTTATCTAATGATTTTTCTCACATCTTCCTCATAAGCTAATCTCTCTAGAATATATGCGATTCTAGGTAGCTCCCTATCAGTCATATTATCATACCAACTGAGAATAGGAATTGCATTTTCTGGCTAAAACATATAAGCGATAGGAGAGTTATCCAAAATAATAACGTCTTTCATGCATCTACCCAGCCTAGTGAGATCCTTGACAAAGGCCCCATTAACAAGAGTGCAATGCTCTCTAAATAACTTATAAGAGCACATTTTCTCTGGATCAAGAATGTCAACCAAAGGATCAGCATATTTGCTCAATGAGGCTGTAAACACGACTAATTCATAGTGCTTATGCATTTTTTTGAGGAATTATGATACTCCAGGTCTAACCAGAATAAATATATTGCAAATGCTGCCTTCAATCTCGACTGGGAGCACAATATCAGGATTTTCTATTGGTTTAAATGATGAATGGACTAGAGTTTCGTCAAGATCTAATACTAAGGTCTTTTTGCCAATATCATTTCTTCTCTGTGGTCCTAAGAGTGCATCTTCTTCAGCCAAGGTATTACCCTAGGTGAAACTAGTCTCAATAGTTGTAGCTTTACTGTCTTACTCATCCCTCTATCTTATAGCTTGTTGAGTTTGTTTTAGCATTAATTTTGGATCCATGTTTTATGGTACCTAGCACACTAGTTGAGAGAATTTATTGTCTTCCTCTTTTCTAGTCACACTTGATTAACCTTGACTGATTCCTCTTTATTAATTTGTATTAGAGAATTACTGTTATTATATTTGATTTTATGATTATCTCTCATTTCCTCCTCTTTTGCTAGTACTTGGTCTGCTTTTTCTGCTTGATTCAATATTTCTATCAATAGTGTTAGACATGTAATTGCTATTATTTGAGGCGAATTGATTATCAGGATTGGTGTACTAAAGAAGTCTATTAATAGGCTGAGCACTAGAAGTTCTAGTTTAGCCATTCGACTGAGGCTATGAAGATTATTTGCTGTGAATACCTCCTGTATTTTAGGTACTTGTGTTGTAATTAGTTGAGCCTAAAGCCTTAAACGATAAAGGATCATAATTTTCTTTATTAGGAGGCCTGATATGAGAGGTAGATGATTACTGAGTAATAAATTCTTATGATGATTTCATATCTTTTGAAATCCCGGAAAGCTTCTGTGTATTTGAGAAGTGCAAATGCATTTCCTGCTGCTTATAATCCTTACTGCTGATTTACTTGCTTGAGTCATACTTAGAGATGTAATCAGATTCAGGTTTACCCTTAGATTGATGAGCTCTAGTATTAGATACAAGCTTTTAATCTTATTTGACAGATTGAGTTTATTAGTTTGATAGATGGAAGTTGATGTTGTTTAGAAATCCTCCCTAAGGTTTCATAAATTTAATGAAGTATCTGTTAATATATAAATAATTTATCAAATTTCAAATTTAACAACGAGTTATCATTCTTAGCTTCTGGGGTTTTGGGGTTTTGGGGTTTTGGGGTTTTGGGG